TACAGAATGACATGTTCAGCAATAAATTTTTATTGTCTGATTTTTACTACCCAAATTATAATGAAATGCATTATTTAAACTCAGCACGTTTGACTAATAATAAATCGATTGAATTTACAAGTGATTTGTGGTCGTATTTCTTTTGTGTATTGATCTAATTGAAATTGAGTTATAATTCAATATAACTAGTACTGTGAGTTACATATACATATAGTTATTTTATAATATATTGTTAACATTTTGTAGTTTTTTTTTTTTTTTTTTTTTTCAAATTGTTTAGTAATTATCTTGTAATGTTTAAATAAATTTGTTAAGTAAATTTTAACTAATATCTATATTTTGTTAGAATTTAAGTTGATCAATTAAAGTAATTGATTTTTAATTGATTAATTTTATATTTTTATCAATTACATTATCTGGACTGGTATCAGGTAGTGGTTTCTAGAAGATTGAGAGGACTTTTTTTATTTAACAAACTTATAATAGCTTCCTAATTATTAAATCATTAAAACTAAAAGCAGTTGTATCTGTAATTATATTACTATTCACATCTAATTATCATTAATTTAAATGAACTTTAAAACGTGTCATTAAAAAATTAAATAACTAATCCCTTTCTATTCTACTAATAATTAACATAATTAACTACTAAGTACATAATAATTTTGCAAAAATTATTTACAAAAAAATTCCAGATTTTATTTAAGAGCAGATAGGGTACAGAGATCAAATGAGAAATAATTTGAAATCTTAATGTTATTTAAACATGTTTCACTCCAGTACTAATTATAATTTTAAAATACATATTTGTTTCTAAATGCATAGTAATAAGGGCAAACTAAGGTCGATACTTGTTTTAAATTAGAAAGAAATGTCTGTGTTTAAAATTGAATTTATAATGAGACATTTAAACGTTTTAAACAATTACTCTAGAATGGAGGAATTCTTTTACAACGGAATAACAAAGTCCACTTTGGCATATGAAATACTGTCAACTGTAAATTAAAAACGTGTTTTTCAAAATTCATTCATTAAAAAAACTTGTATAGGTATTTTCTTAGAATTCCTTTTAAAGTTGCTGATGAAGTATAAAATGTTGCACTTTGAAATGGTTTAGCAAATTTAACGACACTTTTCAAAGTCAAGGTTGAATTTTATTTGTTTAGATATTTAATTAGTTTTGCACGTTTTTAATAATAATTTTTTTTAGCATCACATTAAAGTCTAGCTTTAAGTTTATTAAACTGTAAGCAATTATATGAATTTAGTTTGAAATGCAAATAAAAATGCTATTCATAAACTGATGTAATTTACGGTAGATAATTAAGAATGTTTAGCTGGAACTAAATTGGAAAATTTTATTTAAAAATACTTTGTAATTGATAAATTATTACATTTTTGCAATAAAATATTTGCTAATTGAAAAAAATTAATCAATCAATTCTCTCAAGGCACCTGCCGATAGTGTCTGTACGATCGAGGGTCTCCTATGACTTTACCTGGTTTAGGCATTAAAATAAGCTTTTGCTTTTTCTAGTTAATGAGGAATGTTCCGACATTAAGACATTTCTGGAATATTTTTGCTCAATCACAATCTGATTGTTAGTTTGAGGGTTGGAATCTGGGCCCCGTGACTTTTTGTCACGAATCTTGGAGCATAAATTTAATACTTCTTCCTCTGTTATTACTATTTCATTGCGATTAGCAGGTTGTGATGTATGATTCTCGGGTTCTCCTTCTGGGAATAGCATAATAGCTATCTATCTATCTATCTATCTATCTATCTATCTATCTATCTATCTATCTATCTATCTATCTATCTATCTATCTATCTATCTATCTATCTATCTATCTATCTATCTATCTATCTATCTATCTATCTATCTATCTATCTATCTATCTATCTATCTATCTATCTATCTATCTATCTATCTATCTATCTATCTATCTATCTATCTATCTATCTATCTATCTATCTATCTATCTATCTATCTATCTATCTATCTATCTATCTATCTATCTATCTATCTATCTATCTATCTATCTATCTATCTATCTATCTATCTATCTATCTATCTATCTATCTATCTATCTATCTATCTATCTATCTATCTATCTATCTATCTATCTATCTATCTATCTATCTATCTATCTATCTATCTATCTATCTATCTATCTATCTATCTATCTATCTATCTATCTATCTATCTATCTATCTATCTATCTATCTATCTATCTATCTATCTATCTATCTATCTATCTATCTATCTATCTATCTATCTATCTATCTATCTATCTATCTATCTATCTATCTATCTATCTATCTATCTATCTATCTATCTATCTATCTATCTATCTATCTATCTATCTATCTATCTATCTATCTATCTATCTATCTATCTATCTATCTATCTATCTATCTATCTATCTATCTATCTATCTATCTATCTATCTATCTATCTATCTATCTATCTATCTATCTATCTATCTATCTATCTATCTATCTATCTATCTATCTATCTATCTATCTATCTATCTATCTATCTATCTATCTATCTATCTATTATCTATCTATCTATCTATCTATCTATCTATCTATCTATCTATCTATCTATCTATCTATCTATCTATCTATCTATCTATCTATCTATCTATCTATCTATCTATCTATCTATCTATCTATCTATCTATCTATCTATCTATCTATCTATCTATCTATCTATCTATCTATCTATCTATCTATCTATCTATCTATCTATCTATCTATCTATCTATCTATCTATCTATCTATCTATCTATCTATCTATCTATCTATCTATCTATCTATCTATCTATCTATCTATCTATCTATCTATCTATCTATCTATCTATCTATCTATCTATCTATCTATCTATCTATCTATCTATCTATCTATCTATCTATCTATCTATCTATCTATCTATCTATCTATCTATCTATCTATCTATCTATCTATCTATCTATCTATCTATCTATCTATCTATCTATCTATCTATCTATCTATCTATCTATCTATCTATCTATCTATCTATCTATCTATCTATCTATCTATCTATCTATCTATCTATCTATCTATCTATCTATCTATCTATCTATCTATCTATCTATCTATCTATCTATCTATCTATCTATCTATCTATCTATCTATCTATCTATCTATCTATCTATCTATCTATCTATCTATCTATCTATCTATCTATCTATCTATCTATCTATCTATCTATCTATCTATCTATCTATCTATCTATCTATCTATCTATCTATCTATCTATCTATCTATCTATCTATCTATCTATCTATCTATCTATCTATCTATCTATCTATCTATCTATCTATCTATCTATCTATCTATCTATCTATCTATCTATCTATCTATCTATCTATCTATCTATCTATCTATCTATCTATCTATCTATCTATCTATCTATCTATCTATCTATCTATCTATCTATCTATCTATCTATCTATCTATCTATCTATCTATCTATCTATCTATCTATCTATCTATCTATCTATCTATCTATCTATCTATCTATCTATCTATCTATCTATCTATCTATCTATCTATCTATCTATCTATCTATCTATCTATCTATCTATCTATCTATCTATCTATCTATCTATCTATCTATCTATCTATCATCTATCTATCTATCTATCTATCTATCTATCTATCTATCTATCTATCTATCTATCTATATCTATCTATCTATCTATCATCTATCTATCTATCTATCTATCTATCTATCTATCTCTATCTATCTATCTATCTATCATCTATCTATCTATCTATCTATCTATCTATCTATCTATCTATCTATCTATCTATCTATCTATCTATCTATCTATCTATCTATCTATCTATCTATCTATCTATCTATCTATCTATCATCTATCTATCTATCTATCTATCTATCTATCTATCTATCTATCTATCTATCTATCTATCTATCTATCTATCTATCTATCTATCTATCTATCTATCTATCTATCTATCTATCTATCTATCTATCATCTATCTATCTATCTATCTATCTATCTATCTATCTATCTCTATCTATCTATCTATCTATCTATCTATCTATCTATCTATCTCTATCTATCTATCTATCTATCTATCTATCTATCTATCTATCTATCTATCTATCTATCTATCTATCTATCTATCTATCTATCTATCTATCTATCTATCTATCTATCTATCTATCTATCTATCTATCTATCTATCTATCTATCTATATCTATCTACTATCTATCAATCTATCTATCTATCTATCTATCTATCTATCTATCTATCTATCTATCTATCTATCTCTATCTATCTATCTATCTATCTATCTATCTATCTATCTATCTATCTATCTATCTATCTATCTATCTATCTATCTATCTATCTATCTATCTATCTATATCTATCTATCTATCTATCTATCTATCTATCTATCTATCTATCTATCTATCTATCTATCTATCTATCTATCTATCTATCTATCTATCTATCTATCTATCTATCTATCTATCTATCTATCTATCTATCTATCTATCTATCTATCTATCTATCTATATCTGTCTATCTATCTATCTATCTATCTCTATCTATCTATATAGCTATCTATCTAGCTATCTATCTATCTAGCTATCTATCTATCTATCTATCTATCTATCTATCTATCTATCTACTATCTATCTAATCTATCTATCTATCTATCTGTCTATCTATCTATCATCTATCTATCCTGATCTATCTATCTATCTATCTATCTAGCTATCGGATCTATCTATCTATCTATAGTTTCTAATTAGTCTTCCGTTTAAAAACCTAAACCGTTAAATCGAAATCTTCATAGGGTTACATAGAGCTTTTACAAAGAAAGAAATATAGTCCAATTTTAGGACCAGTAATGAAGGTGCTTTCAATTCATCAGTTTTAAATATGTTGTTTACGTGTCTAATAAACTCCATTCTTCTCTTTTCTTTACAGAACACAACGAATTTTTTATATATATTTTTACACTGTTTGCCTGCCCTAGTAATAAGTTTCGTACATCGGTAGTTTAGCCGATAAAGTATTTTTTTACATATACACATGTTATCAGCCAGAGATCAATTTTTTTCCGCTACGGCGCCTTCAACAGCCGCTATGGGCTTGGGTCTTGAAGTTGTCAGTGAATCCCAGCCTCCAGTTTATAACACCACAACAATGCCTTTGTTAACATCGAATGGTCATCTCGATTATAAGAATGGCGGACGTACACCCGCAAATTCACCCGTCGAAACACAGGCACCAACACTCAAATCAGAAATGGCCAAAGATGGAGGACGTTTTTCGAATTTACCCTCTCGTGAACCGATCGATATGGAATTTAAAAATCTATCGTTAACAGTTAATTTGGGATTTAGAAGAGGTATGTAAATAAATGTTTTTAAACTAAAATTTAACTTTAATTTAATGCAATTACGATTGCCATATGTTTCAATCTTATCTAGTTTTAAAATCAAACGACAATATATATAGTAAATATGAACATATTATATCTAATCATTTAAAGCGTTTAGAGATTAATTCAATTGCAAAACCTTGAACTTTAAAATCATTTCATTAACTTTTAGCCCTTTTCTATTATTTTAGTAATTATATAAAAAATAATTTCACATTTAAGAAATTATAGAAATTTAATATTAAAGTCGAAGGGGTTTACAATGTATAGAGAAATAATTCGACCTTATCGTTTATAACTTAGGCACATAGTACCTAAAAATTGTTTACTTTATTTCGCCTACTTTTTTTCAAATAACATAATTAATGTATAATTAAATACTTCTAGTTCTACCTTTAAATTAATTTAACAACAAAATGTTATCTTATCGTTTGTACTGTTAAGAAATTCCATCATCCATAATTAACCAAATGGCAGGTGAATGACGATCATAATTTCGGTGTTTTATTTTCGAAAAAAAAAAAAATGAAAATAAAAATGTTAACTTCAAAGAATATTGTAAAATTTAAAATGATAAACACGAGTTGGTATGAAATTAATGACGGATATAATAAAATAGTTCTTGTTCATAAAAAAACGTTTATGGCTACTCGTATTAGGAAAAATTGCAACTGTTAAATATTTATGTTTAAATTATGCAATATATTTCTCAATATAAACTATTTTTTCACGTTTTATTAATTGGGATTAGTTGAATTTGTAATCCAAATATTTTTGAGATCTTGTCGAATATTTACTCTTCCCTCAATCAATCAAGTTCCTCTATTAAAATGTCATCTTGTGAGTTGGTGATTACCAGCTCGTTCTTAGGTTTTAACTTCTCCAGATAACCTGTAGTGTCTAATGATGCCGTGCAGACTCTGTTGTTGGTACTTCAATGTCGTAGTCAAAGCAAGTGGTAAAAGCCTTTCCACTGGGCAACTTCCCAATTTTGAAGGAGACATCTTCAGAGGCTAAGTAACCTATACGTTTGTTCATGACATGTCTAGTCTTGGAGTCCAGGTCGGTACCTACCACAAGAAGAATTCCCTCATGGTCAGTTTCTCTGTGAAAGACCTACCACTTCTCCACTGTCATCACCCCGTTGGAAGTACTTCGTTGCGTAATGGAAACCTTCCCATTTTTGAAGGAAGCATCTTAAGAAGCGAAAAAGCCCATAACTTTGTTCCTGGCAAGGTTAGCCCTGGAATGCAGATAGATGCCTACCACAAAAAGAATTCTCTTAGAGTACTCTTCTCTGTAAAATACCTCCCATTTCTCCACGGCCTTTTTAGAATTATGGCCGCCAATAATATGTAGACAGTGGACTTTGAGAGCAAAGGACAGTTCTGCTTAGTGGCTTCGCAGTGTGGAGGGATATTTTCCATAATGTAGAGGGATATTTTGCCCATCGGATCACCGATGTACTTAGATCATACTGGGGTCCTCTCTTGGCTGCTTTTTCGTTATTTCCCTTTTCAACGTCTAGCTTCTAAACATCCTTTCCTTCGAGGTTGATTTTTCTCATGTTCTTTTATTTCCAATAGCTGTTTAGGCCTTTTCACTTGTAGGATTCTGACTGGAGGCACCTTTGAGAAAGGTATGGTTTGACTTTGCCAGTATGTTTGAAAACGTGGAGCTGTTTTTTTTTTTCTTTTGGGGGAGTGTTCTGTCCCTATTTGTCTCACAGGTTGAGAGAGAATCTGATAGATCTGTTTTCCGCTATTTAATCTACTGCATTGTTGTTGGAATAAGGTATGATGGTGTTGTTATTACCATTTAAGGATACAGATTCTGAACCCTCACTCATCTTAAAAGGCTGAAGTTGGTTAGAGCTCTCTCCGAGTATATCCTTCTCTTTCACCTCTACATTTTATATATTTACAGTTAGCGCATTGTCCGCTAGGGAAGCAAAGGTACCCATCTCCGTAGTAGTCTTTTATTGATGTCGAAGATTGCATGACAATCAGATCAACACCTGCCGTCGGTTTTTAATTAATCTTCCCATTGATTGTTTTTTGTTTTAGGGAAACATCTCTGCAGACGATTATGGTTTGTGGGAAATACTCTATTCCCCAGGGTGGACAGTTCCTTTCCTGCCCTTCCTTCTCCCCCAATCTACCACCGTTTCTCATATTTTGATTCTGATATTTTTTTAGATAATTAACGCCTATTTGAAGATCTTATAGAACTGAGCATTTTCTTCTATTTCTTGCAGGAAACAAAGAAATTTTACACAATGTTTCGGGAAAGTTTCCCGGTAGTCAATTAATTGCCATTATGGGACCTTCGGGAGCTGGTAAATCTACACTGTTAGATGCGCTATCCGGTTTTAAGACAACCGGAGTAAATGGTTCCTTATTGGTGAATGGAAGACGTAGAGATTTGGGTAGGTCCAATAAAAATTTAACTAATGAATACATCTCAAGAAAACAATTAATTTAAATTAAAATAATTTTAGCCACCTTTAGACGCATGTCCTGCTATATAACGCAAGATGATCGTTTACAGCCATTGCTGACAGTTAATGAAAATATGCATATAGCAGCTGATCTTAAATTGGGACCCAATGTTTCCTATGAGGAAAAGGAATCCAGAGTAAGTTTCACAGCTTTTGAGGGTTACTTTATGAGAAGTTTAAGAGAATTTATGTATTTGGGTTTTTAGATAGAAGATATTTTGCTATTGCTGGGCTTATATGAACACGATCAAACCATGACAAAACGTTTATCGGGCGGTCAAAAGAAGAGGCTTTCTATAGCAATGGAACTTATTAATAATCCAACTGTGATGTTTTTGGATGAACCCACAACGTAAGTGTAGAAATTTTTAACAAATAAAATTTCCGAACTGAAATTTATTTTCTTTTTTAAACAGAGGTCTTGACAGTAGCTCTTGTACCAAAGTTTTAGAATTATGTAAAAAACTTGCCCAACAAGGACGTACCATTATTTGTACCATCCATCAACCCACTGCCAAATTATTCCAGATTTTCGATCAAGTCTATGTTTTAGCTGCTGGTAATTGTGTCTACCAGGGCAGTACCGAAAGATTGGTGCCATTTTTACAAACTGTCGATTTACCTTGTCCCATGTATCACAATCCAGCCGATTATAGTAAGTTTAGGGAAATTTTAATAGATAGAAGTTATTTTAATAAATAAATTTTATTACAATTTTAGTAATAGAATTAGCCTGCGGTGAATATGGCCAGGATAAGGTGGAAACCTTAATATCTGCCTCGGAAAATGGCAATTGTTTAACGTGGTTCAATAATCCCGAGAGTATATTAAAATCGGAGGAACTAATGCGTAAATATCCCATACCGAAAAAGACAAAGAAACGTTCTTTGGAAGATACTAGTTTTTTCAATCAATTATCGGTTCTTATGCATCGTGGTTATATCAAAGCTAAACGTGATACTACTTTAACACATTTACGAATTGGTGTTAATGTTTTTGTGGCCATTATATTGGGTGCCGTCTATGCCAATTCGGGTAAAGAGGGTTCTCGTGTTATAGACAATTATAATTTATTATTTGCGATTTTAATTCATCATTCCATGACAACTATGATGTTGACGGTCTTAACATGTAAGTTTTGGGGGGAAGAAATTTGATTCTAAAGTTTGGTTTTATGTTAATTTTTTTAATTTATTTACAGTCCCCATAGAAATGTCTATATTACTAAAGGAACACTTTAATCGTTGGTATTCTTTGAAAGCCTATTATACATCAATCACTTTGCTAGATCTTCCCATATCGGTAAGAACTTTAAAGCACTTTTTCTTAAACATTTTTTATTCAAAACTATTTGCCTTTTATTTATAGATTGTTGGCAGTTTATTGTTTACCATTATTATCTATCTATGGAGTTATCAGCCCATGGAATGGTTTAGATTTTGGATGTTCTTTGCCATTAGTGTTCTTACCGTGTTTGTGGGTCAAAGTTTTGGTCTAATGATTGGTGCCTGGTTCGATGTAGTGAATGGTACTTTCTTGGCTCCCGTCCTAACCATACCCATGATGATGTTTGCTGGTTTTGGTGTAACACTACATGATATGCCCGGCTACTTACAATGGGGCAGTCATATTTCATATCTGCGCTATGGTTTAGAGGGTTTTGTGGGTGCCATTTGGGGCGAAAATCGTGGTACATTGGAGTGTGAAGAAGCCCCCTATTGCCATTATCGGTAAGTGTTCATTATAGATTCTTAATGATGGTAAAGTAATTAATTATATTTTTCTTTTTTTTTTTCTCAGTTATCCCCGTAAATTTTTGGAAGAAATTACCATGCGTGGCGATCAGTTCTGGAATGATATTATTGCTTTGTGCATAATTGTTCTGATATTTAGAATAGCTTCATTTGTTATACTTAGGGCCAAAATTAAGTCGGTTAAGTAAATAATTCTTTTTTACAATTAAATTGTTGTGTGCAATAAAATAATTAATGCAATGTTAAAGTGTACATATGTAATTATGTATGTAGTTTAAATTTTTTATAATTATTTTAATTTTATTTCATTTTTTTTAAATTAAATTTTTTGTTTTTATTTTGTGTATTTTATTTGTATTTTTAATTTTAATAATTAATCTTTTTATTAGTCATTATTATAATTATTTTAATTACGAAATTTGTTTTTTATTAAATTAAAACTATTAAACATAATTAAATTTATATGTACTTGTCATATACCAATACGTTCATTAAGACTGACAGAGTTTTAACAAATGTTTTGTGAACGTGTAATTAAATAAAAACTGTATGTAATTATGTTTGTATTATTTTTTAAATAAAATTACAAAAAAATAATTAACATTTTTTTGTTTAAATTTGAATTTTTGCACACATTTTTTGTTAACGTCATAAAAGTTTTACTTTGTTTATATTTGTGTTCTAACGTGTTTAATAAACAAATTGTTAATCAAGCATGAATCTTCAAACAATGTATGACTGTATTAAGGTTTGTTTACCTTTATTCATAAATGATTTTTTAAAATTAAGGTTGAATTTTATTCTAGTTAAGTCACTGTTACAGTGAAGTTTTTTTTTTTAAATTGATTCGTAAACAAGTGTTCTATATTCGGCAGAGCCGAATCTTATATCAATCCAATAGTGTACCAAGTTTGTAGTTGTAGTTGCATTTACGGACCCAAGCGGGTCGGTCACTGTCCGGCTGCTTCAACAACCTAACCTACAAGAAGAATGAAACATATGCTATCAATTTAAAGTGAATTCCGGAAGGAACCTTTTGTTATTTGCTACCACTATTTAATCATTTACTGGTTTTATTATCGTATCGATATTAGAATGAACAAAAGTGATCTCAGAATACTAACGGGACTACTCACGGGACACTGAGGTCTCAGATATCATCAATTCATCCTAGGAAACGCCATATCGAAGCTATGCAGATTTTGTGGCTGTCAGGAGGAAACTTCAAAACACATATTGTGCAATTGTCCAACACTAAGTACTCGTCGAGAAAGAATCTTAGATGCTACAACACTTGCCCCGAAGGATATATTAAACCTTTCACCAATCAAACCTGTTATTTTCATACGTGAATTAAACCTGTTATGGTGAACCCATAGGCCGCTTAGGTCTCTCTCTAATCTAAATCTAGGATGAACATCAATGTGATTTTCGTTATAAAACATTTAGTGAGGTTTTGGGTCATGACTCATAAGCTAAACTCTAAAGAATTTTTTGATAGTGGATATACAATTGGGCCGAGTTAATTGTGATTTTTCTTGTTAAGTATTAAGATATTCGTTATAGAATATTTAACGTTAATTTCGAAGTTTGAAGTTAATAATTTCAATATAAATAAAAGATAATAAAAAAAAAACAAAATACTTGTAGGATGTTAAAAATATAAGATCGTTATATTAAGTTTATTTTACCAGGTACTCAATACAAAATATAACATAAAAACAAAATTTCGAAATACTAATAGCTATTTAAATTTAGGCCTTAATACTACTCTTTGAAGGTTGCTTAAGATCTCCATCAGATTCAGAGCACTCCATTAAAGCATTCTTTAACGATTCAGGATCAAGAGCACTTGACGAAGAGAGCTAAAACAGAAATTAAAAACAGATTAAGAAAATAATATAAAGTGACATCTAATATACAAACTTACCAATTTAACTTTATGACCCAAAGATTCCAAAAGGCGTAATTTTAATCTTAGAATAGCTACAGGTTCCTTAGAAAAATGTAAGGTTTGTGTTGGAGTCATAAACTCTAGAAATACTTGCTGATGGGAGGGTGCAGCTAATTTCACATGAATACCGGGTATATTAATACCATTGATGGGACACGACAGATTGGCCGATGTTACACTTTCCTCTTTTAATAGCTGCCCTATAATCTCTTGATAAGGTATATCTTGGTTGTTTAAAAGATATGAGGGAACTTTAGCTTTAACATTAAACGCTTCAAAGCCTTTGATCACAGTTGCACACCAGTCTGGTTCTTCTATTTGAGCCGCCGACAATAGAACGGTAAGACGACTTTCTACTTTTGGTTGTTGACGTTTAATGTTAGATTCGGATTTCAATTGTACAGCCGCCTGTAAAAGTTCTTTCGTTTTGTAGCCCAAAGTCCAGAGACACAAACAACATTCTACTAATTGGTCAGTGAAATAATTAAATTCCTTGGTGTTAAGTTTATCTAGAAGGCTGTTTTCTATAGTTCTAAATTGTATAGAAGACAAACTGCAATTCAATTGGGCACAAGACCATAAAAATGTAGCAATATCTTTGCCTCTAATTGTAGCGCTATAGCCTGCAGTTTTTCTGCGAGAAAGTGTAATTTGTTCGGTAATTGTTTCTATTAGAGGTTGAGTGCATTCCTTACTGTCCCATAGATTTTCAGCCAGATAAGCAAATAGATGTACTTGACCCCTGGCTTGTAATTGTTGCAATTTCTGTGTATCCTGACAAATATTAGCAATATATTCACACACTATGGGTGAACGCAGACGTTGTAGACGCATGGATTTAATGAAACTAACTAGTAAAGCATCATTGCCATTCGAGGTGTTTGAAATGTCCAGCACTTCTTTTAATAAACGCTGATTGAACTCGTCACATTTTATTACGTTGGAGGTCTTATAGGCAGCATTACTAACCAAGGCCAAATCTACGGTACTCATTTCCTTCATAAAATCACTTAGATGAGACTCCATGAGAGATTTTAACAACTTATTAACATTGTATTTTGTTTGTTTCTTACTTAGACCCATGTAGAAACACAATTGAACAAACTGTTCCTTGGATTTCTTGGTATCCTTTTCGAACTCTTCATACAAACGTTGCATAGCGCGACCATAGAAATCCAAACGTGTCATCCAATTCGGCATGAGAAACAAAAATGCATACAATGTTCTCAATATGGTATCAGCACTCATGTCTTCAACATGATGCAAAGCATGACTGTCCAGTAAATTAAGTATGGTGGCGAATTTGTTCGGATCAGCATTGGAACGATAGGTAAAAGCATAAATGATGACAGCCGCTAATTGTTCCTTGGGTGTTTTTCTTAGTTCCTTTTCAAAATACCTCATATCACTTACTGGAAAATAATCGGAATATTTCACATCGCTGGGAACTTGTTCACAAATCTTTTGACGTTCCTGGGCAACATGTTTGGCAAAACGTGTTATAAGAGTACCGGCTTCATCCGATGTTTCATAAAGAATATCTTTTACCGTAAATGATGCGTAATTTTGGGCCGCTAATATTCGGCATGTTTGTTTTAAGGGCTGACATCTCCACAAAGTTTTGGCAAAAATATTTAACATGACTTTTTTATTTAAAAATTATCGTTTTATGTAATTTTTCGTAAACTATTAAAATATGAGGAATGTATGTGCAGCAGCTAGTCTAGCTGCCAAAACAAAAAAACAACGGTGACATGCAGAGCCCTGCGCCGACAAATATTAACGACGGCGGACCGATCCTCATAATTTTATTTTTCATAAATGTATGTTTCGGTTCCTAAAAGTGTTTTTTTCGTCGACATCGACATATGAAAGCCATTTATGTGCGTTCAGTCATTTTCTGAAGAAGATTTCATATGGGTTTAGGGTGAATTATGCTTCGATCGTCATAAAGTACGAAAAAGTACCAAAAGACCTCTTTTATTTAATTTCATGTTTCTAAGTTCAATATTATAGAAAATATTTAGAAAATTCAAAAAGTGCCAGTGAAAGAACGAAAAAGTACCAGAAATACTCCAGTTTAAATTTTCATTCACTCAAGTCCCTGATTGCTTAGTTTTATGTTTTTAGGTTCATTATAATAGAAAATTCAAATAGTACCAGTTGAAGAATGAAAAAGTACCAAAAAGTCCCGTTTTATATGTTCTCACTTACTCCATGTCTATAGGTTCAATATTAAAGAAAATTCAAAAAGTACCTTTTGAAGAACGAAAAAGTACAAAAAGTCCCCTTCTATATGTTATCACTTAATCCGGGCTGTACATTCCTAATTTCATGTTTCTAGGTTCAATATTATGAAAAATTCAAAAAGTACCAGTCGAAGAACGAAAAAGTACCAAAAGTTCCCTTTTATATGTTATCACTTAATCCGGGCTGTACATTCTTAATTTCATGTTTCTAGGTTCAATATTATAAAAAATTCGAAGAACGAAAAGTCCCTTTTTATAGATTATAATTTACTCCGGGCTCTACATGTTTATTTTCATGTTTCTAGGTTTAATTTTATAGAAAACGCGAAAAGTACCAGTCGAAGTACGATAAAGTTCCCCTTTTACTCCAGGCTCTAAGTGCTTAATTTCATGTTTCTATGTTCAAATTTCGTAGCAAGCTCAAAAAGTACCAGTCAAAGAACGAAGTACCAAAAAGTCCCCTTTTATAGGACCTCACTTAATCCGGGCTCTACATGCTTAATTTCACGTTTCTAAGTTCATTATTATACAAAAACTTAAAATGTACCTTTTGAAGAACCAAAAAGTCCCCTTTTATAGGTTCTCACTTATGTTTTCATGTTTTTAGGTTTAATATTATAGAAAATTCAATTGAAGAACGAAAAAGTACCAAAAAGTCCATTTTTATAGATTCTCAAGTGCTTAATTACATGTTTCTAAGTTCTAAGTCAAAAAAGTACCAGTCGAAGTACGATAAAGTACCAATAAGTCCCATTTTATAGATTCTCATTTACTCCGTACTCTGCTTGCTTAATTTCATTTTTTTAGGTTAAATTTTATAGAAAACTCAAAAAGTACCTTTGTAGAACGAAAAAGTTCCAAAAAGTCCCTTAATTATTAATTTCATGTTTCGATTTCAATATCATATAAAACTCAAAAAGTACCAGTTGGAGAATGAAAAAGTACCAAAAAATATCACTTGGTACCGGTGTTCCAAATAACACCTCATTACCATATTTAGTGTTTCTAAATCTAAAAATTTTATCTAAACTGGATCATTGTGTTTGAATAAAATCAAATTTCCCGTTTTTACCCCTTTTGGCACTTTTTTTCTACCCATTAACGAAATAAAAATTCTGTTCCCAAAAGTTGCAACATCGCATTGGAAGCCCGTTATTATGTATTCATATGTATAAGTTAATAAACCAAAAACAATGTTTTATAAAAAAGTACAAAAAAAAAAAGTACAATTTTCACCCCTTAAACGTCCGTTATGTCAAGTTATGAAGGATTCAAAAATATTTTTTGAATGTTCTCTGGTTTAAAAAATACATGGGGTACAAAAGAAGTACCAAATTAGAGTTTTTACCCGTTTATTCCCCAAAGGGGCCGAATTTGAAAAAAGTACCGGACACCTGTCCGCTTTTTTTTTTAATGAACG